TATTTATTTATTTATTTATTTATTTATTTATTTATTTATTTATTTATACTCCTTAATTTTATTTATATACTCGTTCTGCTCTCTACATTTATTGAGTTTAGGAACGCGACTTTTACTTTACAAAATTGCGGCTGATCGAAGAAATATGTCAAGATAATGAGCAAATTGGAACAGTTGATGTGGCACGGATACTTGAAGTAATCATTGTTATTTCTATTTCCATCCGATACAAAAAAGATTTTTTTCATTCCATGGGTCCTGTTTAATTCAGTACTTTATTCTGTTTTTCTATGATCAGAATGGATAATGGAATAGAAAAAGAAATTCTTTTCTTTGAAATGGTTTTTGGCAGATGATAAAAATTGTATGGTTCAGTATCTTTTAGAATTTAAACATTGCTAAGAAATTAAGATTTTTTTTCAATTATATTTTAATAAAATTGGTATTGCAGATATTTCTCGAGTGTAATTGAATTATATTTCATGTTTTTATATCATTATTTGTTTTAATCATATTATTTGCCTTCTTTGCCAACATATTTTTCATTTTTTGGTGACTTTTAGGTGCTGTATGAAACGGAAGAAGGATTTTCACCTCCAAGCGCAGATGAGGAGGAAAATGGTGATGCTGTTTATTAGAGGCAAAAAAATGAAGTTTTTGACAAGCAATATAGGCGCCAGTTTTTGCCTTTTCTTTATATTGTGTCTAACAGCATTCATACTGATTCTTGCCACATTCATATTTTGCATCAAATTATTGCATGCATTCAAGGTTGTAAAACCCAATGTGTCATGTTCTTTATGTTGGTAATGCCTATAACGTCCAATATTTTCTTTATTCAGTACTAGAATGTATCATTTGATAAACTAAATTCTGTTTTTAGTTATTTTTGGAAGTAGTTTTGCGCTAATCTATCTTAATGAGAGCGAAGATTACAATTTTTTGATTTTGAGGTGCTAAATATTCGAAAATTTTGGTTTTTTCTCCTATTTACTGATATCAGCTTTATCTTTATTCATTATTAACTTATCAACAACTAGGATCAAAAGCAAGTGATTTAAATAAGAATCAAATTATAATGCTCAGGAAATCGAAATTGTTAGGTTTTCATTTTAGAAAGAAAACACTTTACGTGGAAGCTTTGTGGCATACATATGTCTGTCATGAAAGTACTGGCACAAAAATGTCATATTCTAGTTTTTCGTGAACAGTGATTTGAATAGCAGCAAGTATTGGGACTGTACTTATGTACTTTTCTAAAAATATGCTGTGAATTCACTGCGACAGAATTATTAGTGGATATGTTTATAATTATTACTTTGTGCATTTGATTTCTGTTCTTTCAACTTTTGCTGAAATGTGGTAAAAGTTTTGGTATATTGAAGAGTTTGAAATTCTTGTGTAGTAATGAAAGTCCTGTTTTTATTGATGGTAATTCCAAAAATTTATTTTCCCTCATTTTCTTCAAAACATCTGGTATCAAAAATTTTCAAAGGTTAAGTAAAGTTTGTAATAACTGTCGTATTATTCTATCTTAGTCATTCTGATCCGACGTATTCATATTCAAATTTCTTTTCACTTTTGGTTGCAGTTGGTACATTGTTAATTCACGAGATGCTACGAAATTCATTTGTTATACGTATTGGTGTGGCTCTGTAATGTTAAAGTAGGATATGAAAAGCTTTATAATAAGGTTTTTTAATTGTCCTAATTTTTTCAAAATTTTTTCTTGCTGTTTTAGTTTTTCTTGTATCGCATTATTTTAAATGTGCTCCTATTTGGCTGAATAAATGATTGTTATATTGCATTTCCATTATTCATCGATACATTCTGTTTTGGTTGAGATCCTTATGGTTCTAACATTGATTTCTGAAAGTATCATTCAACTAGAGGTAGAAGTAATAATGTGTGACTTGAAATGACGACATAAAATGGTCAAATTAGCAACGTATTGGTCACTAGTTGTTCCTCTACTCGTATTACGTGGAATATGTTGATGTTATGAATTTTAATAAGTAGTGAATATTGAAGTTATTAGTAGTCGTGTCCAAGTATTTATTTTTCCTTTGAAAAAATGAGATTGTAACATTATGATCGCTCTGTTTTCTAGTCGTAAATTTTCATTTTCACTACAAAGGTTTCTTTTAGGTATGTCGAGTTCTACAGCATCAAATCCATCTACCTTATTACCCTTAGAACTGGTTGATAAGTGCATTGGTTCAAGAATTTGGGTTATTATGAAAGGTAAATGAATATGGAATTGATGTTTTGTACATGTAGTACAGAAATTTCGAACAATTTTTTACTTCAAATGAGTGTTTTCTAGTCATGAATTTTCATTTTTATTATAAAGGCTTTTCTTTAGTATGTCAAATTTTACAGCGTATTCTGGAAATTAAAGTTCTTTAGAGTTCAAATTAATTTTGTTTATCTTCAGCTTTCTGATAAAAATAATTTTTCAGGAGAAAAAGAAATCGTTGGTACATTAACAGGTTTTGACGATTATGTTAATATGGTACTAGAAGATGTTGTTGAATATGAGAATACAGTTGACGGAAAGCGAGTAACAAAGCTAGATACTATATTACTAAATGGTAATCATATCACAATGTTAGTTCCAGGAGGAGAAGGTCCTGAAGTTTGATATTTCTTCATGGTCTTATTTATTGAAATTATCGTTGCAAAGCGTTGTTCTCTATCAATACTGTGAGTTAATATGTTTTGTATCTCTTAGTCCATTTTGAATTGTTTTATAGTTTTTATTATAGTAAATGAAATTAGTATATATTTCATTTGTCATTTTCATATTTAGATTTAATGTTTTCTGTCAATACTGTGAGTTAGTATGTTCTGTATCTCTTAGTTTTTTATTACATTCAATGAGATCAGTATATATCTCATTTGTCATTTTCATATTCTGATTTAATTTAGAAGTTTGTTCATTTCTTTATTAGTTTTGTGAATTTACAAATTGATGAAATGTATCAATTTGTAAATTGCTTAGAAAAGTTGTCAACTTTTTTATTTAGTTGCTTCACGAAGTATGCAGAGATTGTTTCATGGATGGAATATAAAATTAAAAATTTCTAAGCAGTCGTTTGAATAAAGTGCTGTCTCACTTTTGTGTTTTGAGGGTCTCTCAAATTTTTTTAAAACTGAAAAAGGATTTTAGCTTTAAGGTCAGTTGGAATTAAACGTTCCTACTTTATTTACTATTTTAATTTATTTTTTATATCACTAATGATACTTCATTTCTGATGCATTAGAATTCTTCAAAAAAATATTTCCCATCAACTTATTAACATAAAAAATGTTTATTTTTAACTTTTTCAAGCAGAACTTTGATAAGAAAGAACATTCACACAAACTTTTATAGATATTTCAGGCACAAATTAGTGTTGTTTGAACAAAATACTTTGATATATTTCAGTCATGATATTAAGTTATTAGTTAATTTGATACATATATTGATATATCAAAGTTTTTTCTGTGCTTCTTAAAATGCAATGACATTTGCAAGGTTCAATTATAGCGTATTACTATTTAAGTAAATGCTTTTCAATATTGACGTAAATATGTCACGTTGTGAGATATAGAAACATTTGTTTCCGTAAGCTTATTCTGATTGAATGATTGATATAAAAATACTTGTAATTAAAGTTATACAAGCAAATTGAACACAATTTTATCACGGTTACTCTTCTGGATGTGCTATAATTTTTTAAAGTTTGATTTTATGGCTTTAAGGAAAGGTAGAATTTTACCAAATCTGTTGTACTATTCACAAAATTAAAATTAAAATTGAATATATATTAGTCACCAAATTAGTTTTGCTACGTGGATTTCGGTGTCTTCAGTGAAAAAATATTTTTTAGAATGATATAAATACTTCAAGTCTGTATGGCTTGATCGAGGCAAGTAATGATCAGTATTTCTCAAGTCGACAAAGCAAATTTTTACTATTAGAATCGCTTGATAACGAGCATATAATTTGCCACTGAAGAATAGACTCAGACTTTCCCTTTATTACTTAACTTTGATTTACCTATAAATTTGTGAATTTACCCTGAAGAAGTGTATATTACCTAGAAAAGTCTACCTTATTTAGAGAATCATTTTTAAATTTGGGTCAAAGTTCAAGTGATTTGGTACGCTTTCAAGTCTTAATTAAATTGAAAGAACAAAAGTAAATTCAAACACTTTTACTTTATTGACTTGCAAAAATATATGAAACACTTGTGTTAAGCAACCTTAATTACTGAAAATTGCATGTATAGAAATACAGAAGGGATTTAATTTCCAAAAATAACAGCAAGAAATATTACTCAAAATCAGGACAAAATTTCCTGTAGGTATTTAAGGTGAATAATTCGTAGCTATTTTGTATCCAAAATTAAATAATGTATAATTGAGTATGCAAAGCTTACTTACGCATACTTCAGTACGAATACTTCTCGCTTAATACGCACTTCCGTAAATGTAAAAGTTTTACTTAATTTCATTTGTAATTGTGACCTGATGCATAAATTAATGTTGTTATTCAAATTTTACAGCTTCTCACTGCAATTACATTTTTGCATCAATTCAATGTAAGAAAGTTTCTAAGTAGGCACATGCATGCATGTGTTCTTGAAATTTGAAAACTATTTTGAGCTATTAAAGATTTTACAAAATTTAATCAAAAAGAATACGAATACATCATTTAAAATACTCTCAAACATACTTATAAGGATGAGTTAGTCGCTGAATTAAATGCTTAGGTACAGTATAAAGCTGAGCATATCCAGAAATATCGTAATTACAAATAAGATTTGTAATGTAATATGCTTTTATAAGTAATTAAGAAGAAATTATTTCAAACTAGGATAAAATTCAACTACTTATTTATCAATAAAATATTCATTTTATTTATGATTACTTTTAAATAAAAGTAACCTCTGAATTTCATTTCCGTCTCATTTCTGTTTTCCATTTTAAATTGTGTTTAATAACTGACAAATTATTACTGACTATTTGTTATTGAAAAACTAATTTTTTCATTTTTTATTAATTATATTGATTTTATAAAGTATTATTATGGCATAAGTAGTTGTATCGTAATTTTTGAGTATGAAAAATTTTCAGAGTAAAATGCAATTTCTATTAAGGCATATTTTTGGTCTTGACGTATATTGAATCTGAAATTGAATTAATATTTTTGAGCGGGAAAAAAATTATAATTAAAGCATTTTGAAAGATAATATATGGCGTCAAGAAAACAAAATTCAAAAAAGTTTTATCTCATTTTATATTTTTAATTTTTAGCATTTTTAAATTCAAATTTTCACAGTTATAAAGTTATTCACTATATAAATATATATTCTTACTACCATAATTACCTATATTTCTGTATTTTTGAAGTCTTCTCACTGTATCCTGATTTCATCTCTCAGTTTTTTAAATGATTTTTACAAAATTAAAAAATATCGACAATTTTTCACTTTAGGAAATAAATTTGCATGTAATAGTCTTTTTAATATGGTAGCACTAAAACGTTTACATTTATTGTGATAAATAAAAATATGCGTTCAGTCAAAATTTACGTTAAACTTGTTTTAAACTTATTAATGAAAATAATCAAAACATAACAGATGACGTGGTTTTTGAACTACAAGCCCGTGAACTCTGAAGTTCACGTATTTTTTACAGCTAACCTTCATTTTATATTTTCATTTTTCATAGGTTAATGAAACTTTTCAACAAACATACTTGCACTATTTTTTTCCAAATATACTCAAATCCCTGTGAATAAATTTTACTTACTCTCAACATAAATCTATTAGTTTATCAAAAATATTACAAATATTTTTGGCTTAAAAAATTTTACATTTTTAAGGAAATCTTTTCAAAAACATATTTGTGTATGAGAAAAAATTTTGCATTTGTGAGATATATTTGAAGTTATTTTAGTTTTTCAATAATTTAAAACTCTCTCAAAGCCAATCATTTTCTAAATTTATTTTTTATTGCTAATTTTCAATGCCAAAAGTTGAAAACAAGTTTTGTAGCATAAAGATTTCAGCAAATAAATACGCTTTAATGCAAATTTTTTAGTTCAATAATTTTTGCCTTCATGAATATTTGACTAATTTTTAAAAATAAAAATATTTTTTATTTTTAAAAAATTTTCTTGTATTATTGATTTTTATACTTGTGCAAACTTAAAAAGTTAATTTTAAATTAAATTTAATATGAGAATTTTATATGTGAATTATTAAACTATCAAATTTGATTGTTTTTATCTTTCATTTATTTTTTTAATGATAAATTTCTTATCAATTCACACTTAACATTCCGATCAATTTATTTGATAAAATATTAAAAAATAATAGCTGATTAAAATTTGAAACTTAAGTTAAAAAATATTAAGATATTGGCAAAAATTTTTAATTATCGCTGTAATTATGCCAAAAAGAATTGCACTGTGGAAAAATATGCTATTTGAAGTAATTATTTTCCGTTTATTGCAAAAATAATTTCACGTATAATATTTTAGTAATTTGATTATAAGTTAAGTTCAGTGTTGATGAGCATTTTCATTTATGTTCATTTTTTAATAATTAAATTACTTAAGTATATAAATTTTATTAAAAAGTTTTTGAACAATTCCATTTCAACTTTAAAAGTTTTGTAAAATTTAGAAAAATTTTTTGCGAAAGCATGCGAATCAGTTTTAAAAAATGTTCAGTAAGCCAATTTATTTTTGAAATAAACACAAGTAAGCTAAAAATTCAAATTTTTAAGCTGAGAACACAAATAAGCTAAAAAGTTAAATTTTTAATTAATTTAATAACTTATATCAGAATTAGAGCAGATTTTATATAAATTGCGGTTTTTTTTTCAATTACTTAACTTATTTTTTATAATAATAAAAAGCAAGTATTAATTAATTAATTAATTATAAATGCACTTATCATCGTTGAATTCATTATTCAAAAATATTATCATGCTATTAAGCAAAGAAGTCATCAAGGGGATAAATGTTGATAGATAATTTTGTTTGCTTTTGCATTTATCAAATACAGTAGTAAATAATATATAATATGCAATTTTGCTGTGATAATTGCAAATGAAAAAGCTTTTTGCTGAGTTTGCAATATGCTAACTTTTTTCTCGCTGAAAGCTAATCTTATTTCTTTCAAAAACAATTTTATATTTAGAATTAATGTTCCGAAATCAAAGTATAACTTAAATTTATATTCAATAACTAATTAATATTCAAGAAATTAACAATAAAATAAGCAGTTTATATATATAATTTCAATCAAATGATTATATATAAGCCTAAAATTTGCATAATTATTAAGAATTATTTAATTTAAATTATTTATTTGATTATTTATTTTATTTTATTTATTTATCTGATTTATTTTAGAATGATTTAATTTTTCTCAATAAAAGCTTTACAAATTAGCGTCAAAATAAGCCAATTTAAAAAAAATAAAATAAA